TGCATTTAGAAACCAAATGCTTCAACTTTAGGATGGAGATGCATTAAGAAAAAAAATTGTCTAATTTCACTTTAGTAACAGGTTCCAATCGAAAGAAAACTATCAAATTTGGAAGAAGTTAAAACAAAGGTGCTAGTTGTTTAATATCTCCACACGTGCCAATTCCAGAGAGAAGACATCTTTTCCTCTTATTCATATCACATAAAGATTTAATTTCAAAGTAATTATTACTTGTCTGAGAGAGGCAGTGCCCTGCATACTGAAGAACAAGTTACCAATGCCTTGCTTGGCAGGGACTTTTTTCTGTGTGATCCCATATTTGCATTCATAATCTTTTCTTTTATCTTCGGTCTCCAGGGTGGTTCCCACCTTTCCCTTCCTGCACCAAGTCCTGCTCTGATAAAAGGTACACCTCATGCAACTGACTTCCACATTAACTCAAACCAGGGAGAGCAAAGGGGAAGTTCATGGTTTCAAAATGAAACTCAAAATTTACAAAGCAGCTGCCAATTAGTCAGACCTTAATTTTGCAAATTTATTTAGGAAAAAAAAAATTTAACATGAGCAAATGAGAATACTTCAGTGTTACAACAGAGTATATAAATGTCTAGCAATAGTCAAATAATTTGATCTTTAAATACAAAATAACCACATGAACACCTAATATACAGGTTTCATCTGAATACATATTTATTAGATAAATATTAGGTTGTCACATCATCTAACTACATACAGTTTTGCAAGACTAAAAATCACAATTATTTTTTCTGACCAGTTTAAAGTATGAAATGATTGCATTGTACTGTACATACAATGTACAAACAAAGACAATGGCCATTTTTGCATGTTACCTCAGATTGTACTTTTTTTTTTTTAATTCTCCTCTGATCGTGATATCAAAAATTGTACAAAGTATGAATTTGGTTACAATTTTTTTTCTTTTTTTTTTAATCCCCGTATTTTTCTTCATTATTTCTGTAGCACCCTAAAAATACACAGGTGATAGACTAGTACACGTAAGCTAAATATTACATGTAGATAAAACAGAACAAAACAAAGGATCAGAGTATATTACAGAAGTGAAAGTGGAACAAATGCTGAGACTCCACAAACGCTAACAAACAGGATTCATTTTCCACATAAGATGGAGCTTCAAGCTTTTTTTTCCTGCGAAATAAAAACAATGCACATTCCAAGGAAAATGAATGCATTTCTGTTAACATGTCTCTATTTGTCATTTACATATGTACAGCTGTCCCTTGAGTCTCCGCTGCAGACACTGGCGTGTACTGTCAGTCCTATAATAATGTCTTGGCAGCAGAACTGTAGATCTCTGTGGGTTCTTTCCCAGATGAACTTCCATAGGGAAACGATTAAAAGGTAAACAAACAAAAAAAAAAAAAGAAGAAAAATACTACTGGAATCTCATATAATAATTAAGCTTTAAAAGAAATGACTGTGATTACCCTATTTGCTAGGTTTTTTTCTCTAAACTTTAGTACGGCAGTGAACAGATAAAAAAATAACTAAATTTTCAGAAGCTTTTTCATACTGACTTCACTATACAGTACCTGATTTTAGGTGACAGATAAATTTTAAAACTGTCTCAAATGTCCAACGTTTGGGTGATGGGTAAAAATTGTACTTTCTTTTTTAAGTTCTGCTTAGAAACCAAACATTTCTGTAAGTTGAAAGATGTCAACTGTCCGCTTTAATTATCTACTACTGTATCTACTACTGTAAAGCAGATGCCAACACTGCTCCAAACATATTGCTAATATCTATGGGGCTTTTTTTTTCCCTTTATGCTTTCCAACAGGTACTTTTAAGTGATATATTTTAAATACTAGCAGTTAGCAAAAGGTCAATCCTTAACATACCTGGCTTAAAATACTAATATTGTGTTTAAGAGAAAATTCATTTTAGGTGACTAACTTAGCTGCTCAGGAATCAGTGGAGAATGAAACATGAAATAGAATCAATTAAAAAAATCGGAGCAACCAGTTCCAACTAATAGTGAGAAATCTTCTTTATTCCCAAACCTATGGCTTAAGGAACTTACCCCCCAAATAGAAAAAAACTAACTCTAATGGCATAAAGTCAGTTTATCATTAGCCACCTCTGCACATGACTTCCAGACCTATATAAAAAATGCAGCAAAAAACCAGGGGGAAACTACTACAGGAAAATGGCTACACAACACATCTGTATCAGTAACTGAACAATGGTCTTTCCTAGGAATTGTGTGATAGCAGCACCACACCACAACCATATTACCATGTATTACACCAAGGTATCTTTAATATTCTGCACAGATCCTCTACAGGTTGTCAAGCCTACATAAGAAAAAAGACATTTCTAAGCAGAATAAAATATACTATACTGTTTCCCTCCCCCACCCACCAACATCCCTAAGTGTCTTTGCCCCAGTTTCAGAGACTGGAGCACCAGTACAGCGATATAAATACGGTACCATACAGATTTGCTGCTTGCCTTAGTGCATCTTTACCTGGTCAGACAGCTGGTCCTACGTGTTCTGCTCATTTGGGCAAATGAACAAACTCTGCCATTACCAGCTCACGATCACCCACAGTCAATGAACACTGGTTGATCAGTTGGGGTTACTTTTTCCTAGGCAAACACAATTATGTTTCCATGACAGAGCTGGGCCCTGATTATCAAGGTACTGCCTGATGTATCAATTCATTCATCACATAAATGGATATGAAATTTGGGCTAACTTACCAAAAGAAAATAGGGGGGAAAAAAACCCAAAACCCAACTCCCTTATTCTGTTAAAGAACCCTCAATTTTCTTTTTTAAAAAAGGACCCATATTTTTCTTCAGACAAGGTATTTAAAAACACCAGCAAAAGTATAACCAGATCATGAAAATGTTGAATATTATCAAAGACGATACTAAAATATTCACAAAGATATTTACAATAGCAATTCTTAAAATAATTGATTTTGCATAATGAACAGCGCCTTTCTTAAAAAAACTTGAAAGAGGAAAAATATAAGTGTGGGACCATTTCTACATAATACGTTTGACAGATTCAATACTCCTACTGGAAAATAAAAGAACTAAACCGCCATTTCCTTTAATATCTACAGCAAGGTGCTGCTGACTAGCATATATATACCACAACGCATGTACGGCAGTAGTGGGAAACGTTAACAAAAAGAGCAAAATAAAACACAAAATGCAGAGAATTTACAAGTATGACTTTGGTGAGGAAAGCAAATCCAGAGTTGTAAGCACAGAGCATGCCATTTACAGCATTGCAAACTAAACACAGAGGGCTAGGAAGCTATCTAGTCAAACTGACAGGAACAAACAAAATTTTGCCTGGCACTTCAGTTTAAAATGCATTGTGGCGAGCAAATGAAGGGTGTTTGATTGGATTTGGGAAGAGGAAAAGGAGTAGGGTCAAATATGCTTTAGTATCAAAAGAAACAAAACCAGTAACTGTACAGTGGGGAAAAGCTGAAATGTTGCACCACGAGGGCAAAGTTGGCACACATGCACTTCTTACACAGCTACTGTACATCATTTATAAGAGAGAGAGAGAGAGAGACAAAGAGCACAGAAATGGGCACAGAAGCAATAGGAAGCTCATGCAGGAGCAGCAACCACACGAGAAGCAAAGATCACAGGGGCAAGACAGTAATTCTGGCAGCAGGGTCTCTTGAGGGCAGTAGCAATCTACTGACAGGTACTTATTCTCCCCACACTCGGTCCTTCAGAAGAAAGCTCATCCCAGCAGCCAAAGTTTACAAAAAGAAACTGAAGGAGGAGAAAAGGAAAAGGCGGAAGTATCTGTAACAGTCACGAAAACAGAATGCAAAGCAAAACTAAAATGAAGCTGTAAGACGTCTGTCCAATGTCAATGCCCCTTCTCAAGCTGATTATTAAAAATAATTATGCAGAAAATGATGTTACTCTCCCTCCATCCTGCAATGATTTCCTCGCTGCCTTCAACCCAGCTTGTCTTACTATGCATTGTGCAGTACAGTGACACAAACGCTTGGGGCACCGAAGGCCGTAGGTAATAATCAGGAACAGTTTGGTTTGCATCCCCCCTCCCTCTCTTTTCCATTATGTATGGCATACATGGCAAAAAGATCTATGACAGCAATCTCTACAGCTGGATGTTAACGCAGTCAGAAACGGTACTGATCTGAAACCAAATCACAGAAACCCCTAAACATTGCAAACTTTAAAAAAATTTTTCCTGGGTGCTTCCAATCTGTGTGCTGGGCCAGAGGAATCCTCTGCAAAGAGATGGTAAAGATCCCTGCGCGTGCAGAAATCCCAACACCCACGGCTGCGGCCTGCAGAGCTCAGGACTCCGTTACTGAAGTGGCATTAGCTACACTGCTGGCTCCCTCTGACAGGCCTCTGTGTCTTCCCTAACTCTGCCACTTGACTGTAGGATTTGTGCTTTTTTGAGCTTTGTAGGTGGTTTTTTTTCATTTTGTGTGAGGCCAGGACAATTATTCCAAGGCAAACCCAGGGCAGAGGAGAGGTGGGGTAGAGGGAGATACAGTTTCAAAAAAATGGAAGAACAAGCATTGTAAAGACACTCTGAGATGGGTCAATTAAAGACAGTTCCATTCTGTTGATTTTTCTTCCCTTGCCAAGATCCGGTTTTGCCAAGATACTTCACACTATGTTTATCACAGAACTCTCTCTCTAGAGGATGAACACCAAATGGGGTTTCCAATAGCTGCACAACTGTCTATGCTTCTTTGTCACATGTAGCATGGCAGACTCGGAGATTACTGCATTTATTTAACTTTTGTATTATTTTCTCCCGTCACTTTCGCAGTCTTTGAAGCTAACAAAAGCAGTTCTGAGATGAAGAAAGCAGGGAGTGCACCATTGGATCGAGTTGTGAGGTTTTTCTTCTCTTGTGGAAAAGGAGTGTTACGATTCCTCGCTGTGCAGCTACACACGTGTGAACAAGTGAAAAGGATGGGAGAATACACATGGTTTCAGTTGTTCTCAAAGAGAGACAGAAGGTCATCATTGCTATTGCTTGGCAAATCAGGAGGATCCAGGTATGAAAGCAGCTCATCTGGATTTGTGAGTTCTGGAAGCAGCTATAAAATACAAAGATAAAATAAAAAATTACAGATAACAGAAACACAACTGAGAAAAGAAAGGGATTAAACACCACACGTTCCTGGAATCTGGTTTTCATAACAATATAGCCAAATAAAACAGAAGGCAGTGTCACAAGCCTAACACCCTCAGATGATGCAGTATCCAATTGCTTGTGAAAGTCTCTGTGACTCAGTTTTCACCTGTGAATTACATTATCATCTCAGTTAGGGTTTCTCAATCCACCTCCCCATCATATTGCCTGGCTCATGATACCGACAAAACCTTCTGGACAAATGCTCATTATGGATGTTTCCTATAAAACACTGCATAAACATTTGAAACAAGCACTTGGAGTAATCCACATTTGAGCTTCAAGGTAGATGGGCAAAGGCTGGTCTGGCCCTCACACATCAGTTTGATGGCCACTCAAAGCCTGCAACTCTACAGAAGGAGGCAGCCCTGTCCTTTGCTCACCCCTACTAACTCCTCAGTGCACTGATCTAAGCTCTGGGGCAGTGACCTGGAGCAAGGAACTCACCCAGGGTTAAAGCAACCAGCAAATCAGGAAAAGTGGAAAAAAAAAACCAATTAAGGAGGAGAATGGAGAGAGGAGGGGCAGGGCAGCTGGGCGAGTCCTTCTCCTTTCTGTGGCAGGAGTTTACAGTGGTTGGAAGTACTTACTTGACTACAGCATTACATGCAATTCCAGACATTTTAAAGGGTCACAGGTGTAACACTCCATCCAACAGAAGATGACCTAATCTGCACAGTGCTTTAAAGTATCAAAATGAATAGCTATGGGACTTCAATTTGTATTTCCATGAAAATGGAAATAAACCATCACAACACATTCTTTTTGATCTGACAGATGACAAGCACATTGTAACTCCTGGGTTGTGCATCAGGCAATGTTTTCTGCTCTGTAATGCATCTTGCCCTTTCCTAGGCAAATATAAAAGTGTCATATATAAAAAATTGCAGGGAACAGTTTGTAATAAAGCCCTTTTATGTTCTGCATTGTTTTAAATACAGAAATATATGGACTATTTTAACAAACTTAATAGTAGGTACATGAAATTAATTTTAAGTTGTTCAATGTTTTCAAATAGTATAAAACCAAAAGCTTGACCACTTCAATTTAACACTGTATTTACATGCTTCTATTACTCTTGTGCAAATGAAACTTCGTCTTCTAATATTATATGGATAAACAAATTTTTCAATAAGCTAAACATGAAATGCCAAAAAAGTTTACTGCTTTCTAAGCATTTAGAAAAAACGCAATGTCAAGTTTACATAAACAGAATCTCCCAGAAGGAATCTTCTTCTTAAGCTACCACCTCATTTTACTCATGGCAAAAATGCTATTGTCATTGTATTGAGATGTGAGACTTTTAAATTTACTTCACCTCCTATTAGAATTTTTTATGAGTATATTGTGAAAAAATCCAAAAAGAAAAAGTCCAAAAGAAAACAGCAGCCCCACCAAGTGTGGAGAAATAAAAAAGTTATTAAATCTGTCCTACAATTTTACAACTTGTTCTTAAAAATTTGAATCATCTATGAGACTCATTCTTGTATGCTGGGGATTTTTTAAAAAGTTTAAGAAGACTGGAAGTTTTAAGCAATAAGCTCAGTATGTGAAGTTGAAGTCTTCTGAGTTGTGAAGGTGAGCTCAGCTTCCCTCAGCCAGAGGGGACAGGCAGCAGAGCTGGCCTCCTGCCCCACTGGTGGGAAACCCAGAGACCTCAGGAAGGACTCGCTGGGAACTGAGAGTGCTGTGCTGGAGCAGGGACAGAAGAGAGAGGAGTGCCAGGGCCTGTGAGGGGGTGATGGGGACAGAAGCTACAGGAATGTGCCAGATTTAGGGTAGAGTTTGGAGACATGTACCCTGTGCTCCTGAAGTGCAAATGGAGAGGTCTAACCAGTGATTTCAGCCTTGAGCCTCTTCTGTCTGAAGTACCCATGCAGATCTCCCCTGTCTGTGCCTGCATCCATAGGAGGTGGATTCTTTAACCCAGGTTAAACCTCAGACTGCATCTCACTGAATTCCTGCAGAATGACTGTGACTGTGCCAGGAGGGAGTGGGTCAAGTTGCCCACAGTACAGTGCCCTGTTTGCTTTGCTGCATGGGACTTTATTCAGCCACAAGAGACCCATTAAAATAATCCATCTGATCAGGATCACAGGTATTTCCAGTAAGTTTATTTCCCACACTGTACAGCACTTGCCTCCTGTTAAGAAACCAGCAATCCTTCATCAGTGATAACCACAGTACTGTGCAAGTGTACAGATTTTTGTACTTTGCTTCTCACCAAGGAATGGGTGCCTGACCCATAACAAAATACTGTATGTTTCTTAAATATTAGAAGAAAAAAAGGAGACATTTTTATTTCACCTTTCAGTATTGCTCAGACAGGATCCTTAAGGGTTCAGAACTTGAATTGCCACATGAACTATTGTTCCCAAAGGATGTGCACACAACCGTATTGTGTGAAATAGCAGAAGTTGCCTCACTGATCACTGTTCCTGCAGCACCCTGAAGCCCCTATCTATTCCCTAACCCCTTTCCTCCCCTGTGAGGCTACCTGCCAGCCCAGTGCTCCTGTGTGACAGGGGAGATGCAAGTATACAGCAACAGCAAATACAGATATAAATCCAAGGCACAGAAGCAAACACATCTCTAAGGAAATTAACTGTGCAGCAGCAGACTTTGGAACAGACAGAAGATACACATACAGGAATGCATGACTCAAACAAAAATCCAATCCTAGTGCTGAGGATTTATATTTTGGGAGGTAGATGGCTAACCAGAGAGATATACCGCAAGTAAGTCACTTCCAACTCCACTGAATCGATGTTAAGAGATGGAAGACTACTTTTGGACTTAAAACTAGACCTCAGTTAGTTGTGAGCTACCTCCGATGGTGGCTAAGGAGGCAGAAAATGTCCATGTTGTTTATGTCCCTGTGTGGTGTACTGGGAAGAGGAACTTATGCTGCTGAGCCACCCACAAGAGTGGGTTTGGAAGGGCGCAGATGGTTTCTGGCTGCAGGGAGCAGGGACTGTGTCACAGGGTGGGCCAACACAGACCCCACTCCTGCTGGCCAGGACATGCCGCAGGGCTCAGCACAGAGCTCACGTGGCACAGCAATGCCACGGTCAGAACCTCACACAGCTGTGGCCCTCCTCCTGTCCAGGCACTGCAACAGCTTCAGGGTCCAGGAGAGCACAGTCCAACCAGCGCCGAGGTGGGAAAGGAGGAGATGGCTCCCGGCCTGGTGCCCGAGCTGCTGCCTAAAGAAGCGCCTGCCTCGGTGCTAGGAAGAGGCTTATGGCTCACACGCCACACAGCTGCTCCAACAGAGCCATCCGTTCTCCCAGCAGGTCAGGAGTGCCCTGTCACCTTGGCTGCAGCACCGGTGCCCATGTACCAAAGCATGAAGGATGGCATGTGCTGTGGAAGCGGCCCCGGCCCCTGCCCTCCCCGCCCTCCCGCGCGATGGAAGCACACGCTATGGCAGGCAGATGAGAGTATGACACAGACTTACATCCAGCGAGGGCTCCGGCATGTCGGGTGCTCCCTGTCCACCAGCCTGACCCTCTAAGGCTGAGGAGGGGTTAAAGGTCAGGTCACTGTGTGGATGGTTGCTAGAAGCGGCCGGGGGTGGCTGCCGGGACTGCTGGGTAGGAGGCCCGCTGTGATGTAATGGCTGCCCTGACTGGCTGCTGGGGTGAGGGACGTGCAAACCTTGCTGCATGGAAGTATGGGACTGATCAGTGCTGCCGGGATGAGGGATCTGCGGAGGAGGAAAAAAGCAGGAAAAGAAAGTGAGGCCACAAGGTACAGTGCTCGCGGTGCCTGACTCTGTAACTGCATGTTATAAAATGAAATAAATTAAAAAATGACACACACAACAAAAAACCCCAGCAAAACCAATCAACAAACAACAACAACAAAAAGAAAAAAGCGCCACTGGAAAAGGAAACTCCATATCCCAATGCTGGAGGAAATGTTTCAGCTTTTTGAAGGTTTTCTGCAAGGGGAAAAACCACATTGAACTTGAGCTGTTGGTTTGCTTCCTTGTAATGTGGAAAACTGTATATGAAGATGCAAAACAATGCACCACAAAGAGAAGGGAAGGGGGCTTATGGCCGCTGCTCAGCATTAGCAAGGCAGATGCTTTTGCCCTAAAAAATGTTATGAATGAACAGAGAATTTGCTGAATGATCCCTATGCCAGGAAACTCATTACCTGAGAAAATGCATCATTTCTGCTCAGCTCCCCTGTTCGGTAGCTTCCTGACACTGCAGCCTATTCCTGTCTCAGCTCTTCACAAACATCTTGCAAACACCAGCTCTTCCCCACTCCTTCCCTCCTTTTCTTCTCAGAATGCCCTGTTAAAGGCTGAAGGCTTTCCTTGCTGCCATTGCTGGGTTCTGATGGCTGACAGAACCAAGGCACTCAGGAAGCACATTCCCCACCATGAGCCGAGCTGCTGTGGGTGGCTGCACACCTGCTGACTGCAAAGTACACGGCCTTAGCTTCAACTAAGCCAACAATCACACTCTGCTCTGTATAAATTGTCTAGCAAGAGCTTAGTGGTTTTTTATGTTTTCTGTGGGGAATAAGCTACCAATCCACATGTGTCTGCCTAACCCTATTACCGAATGAGGGAAAAGTCTTTCTCACATGACAGAGAAGCAATAAAAATGCACAAGTCCAACTCTTCCTTCTGCTGCATGTCACATTTAATGCTAGTGGAATCTCTGGGGCTTGACCTTGGTGCCATGAGAAAGAAGTGTCTGAATGCTTCAGAATCAGGTATCTCATGTTAATTGGGCATATGGAGAAACAAAAAATGTAACCATTTTTTGAGGAATGCTACGTATTGGACAAAGTGAAGCTGAAATAAAGGAACAAATACATACAACAACAGCATGAAATTCATCCAGCCAAGCCAACAGAAACCAGCAAAAGGCTATGTCAGTATTCACCCTTTCATATCACATAAACTGCAAAGTTATCTCAACTTCAGCCTTCAGCTTCAGAAAGCAAAAGGGAGGTTATTAGAAAACTTAATTAAATATTCCCATAAAAAATTAGAGAAACAAATATTTTAAAAAATACTTTTCACCACTCTTAGAAAAACTGAAACTTGAATACTGATCCATTGGGACAGTCACACTCAGCTGCATGGAGGTACTTTTCAATACTTTGGTATTACAAAAGTTTGTGGAAATGATTCTACTTCCATGGTATTTGGCTTTCTGTCCCATATGAGAGTTGTATAAATAAGCAGGTCAGAAATACTACATTGTGTTTATACATTCAAGGATTTAAATATATATTTAGCTGATAACACAGTCACTTGGGTCCTTAGACAATGGGTGTATAGGGACTAATTGTTTATTGTAAGACTGAGGGCAATCATAGTCTTTGAAGAGCCATTGCAGATTCCAAATCCATCCAACTTAGGCCACTACTCCACCAGCCTCTCAGAGAAAGCAAAATGCTCAGGATGGGAACATTTTCTATTTGCATTCAGCTAAATGATGATAATTTTGCTATGGTGCAAACACATTGTAAGCAGCACACTTTGGGTATGTTTCGCTTGCACCTGCAACTCCCATCATTTTATTCTGAAAGCACTGACCCTCACTATGAATGCAGAGTCTAACAAAGTTGCCTTTGCTTGCACAATAATTCCAGAGCTGTTTTTAGCAGCAGAAGCTTCGACACTCTTAAAGTATTTACAGTCTATGAAAGAAAAGCTTCGAGCAGACAACTACATCTTCAGCTTAATAGCACAGAGCAGCACAGCTCTACAGCCCAACAGTGACCTCTAGGAGTGCTGAGATGTACAGCTGTGGAGCAACAGGGCCTGCCACTGCACAGCAATATTCTTTCTGTCTCTGAAGAAAATTATTAGTGGAGAAAATATCACCAGGTTAAGTCAATGGTTTATATCTCTCTCCATTACCAGGGGCACAGTTTTACCAACTCTTCTGCTGTGTTAGCTACCAAAACTGTTAAAAGATGCCATCCTGCCTACCCTGCTGATGTTCTTGGTCACTTTTCCCATCCACCTGTTTGCCACGTCTGCAAGGTGAAACCTTGTAGACATGCACTGAATTTCCCCACCCTGCCCCTGAATTAGTTTCCAGTCACATCAGTACCTGGGTCCAGATCACTTCATGGCTGCAGTAACACTTTTGCTGAGAGGGGGGAAAAGTGAAAATAGAAACAAGGGCAATGACTTTTTACAGTAGCACCAGCTCATATCACCTCCCTGAGTGTATGAACCTATGGCGTCATCATCCATTGCTCAGTCCCTCCTTACACTGTCTGCAAGAAACACTAAACTAGAGCTAACTGAATTCCCTGTTGTCTAAAATGTGGTTAAAATTTCTGAAAACAAACAGGAGCTGCCATGATTGTGGCAGCTGTTCTGCAGCAATCTTGCACTGCTGCAATGTGGTATCTGTTCCACAGCTCTCACAACACTGTGCTGGGGAAGAGGTATTCTGGTCATGTTTCAGATCCTGGTTTTTTTCTTCTTCTATAGGAGCAGAACAGCAGTGTTAAGGGAAGGAAATTCTGACTGATCCATCCCTGGTTACCCAGCCCTAAACACACTGGGCAAATATCTGCATTTCCTGGAGTGACCTACACAGTATGTTTGGAGGGATCAACTTTCTCTGCCTACCAACTGTGTAAGGGCCACCACATAAATCTTCAAACTAGGACTGCTAGGAACTTCCTCGGCAGCATTCAGCTCCAGTAAGAGAGACCTCAGGTCTAAAAGGACAGAACATCCAATCCCAACTCACCTTATAAATGGCCAAAGTGAATAGTACGTGCAAACTACAAAAAGCTGCTGTGTAAAAGGAAAGACAAAGCCAGAGAACAGCACAGGCGATACCTTAAAACCTCGGTACAATCACACCATTTGTTTATAGTTGTTTTTGTATGAAGTGTTTCTTTAAAGACATGCAACTACACAATTTAGGCATGTGTTAAAGGCATGTAATTTCTCTAAAAGCAGTCATTTTAAAAGATGTCTTTTCTTGAGTGTCTGCTACAGACAAACAGTTCATTTTGAGAGAAAAGAACAGAGGATAAGAAAGAAAGAGAAAAGCAGAGATTCTATAACACTGAAAAGGCCGTGCAGGAGCACTAAGAGTCCTCAAATGTGTACTGAAAACTGCACAGCCACATTGACAAGGTTAATCTAATTCTCCTCTGCTAAAAGACCTGAAAACTGATTCTCATTACAGAAAACCAGCCACTGACATAATGTAGGAATCTGCTTTAGCACTGCTTGCTATTCCCAAATGATATTGCTTGAGTAGCATGATAGATGAGGGAGAAGTGAGGCAAAGGTTTACTTTAATTGCCAGCTATCATAAGCAAGTATTAAATTTGCTACAGATTGGCCCACAGAACTGGAAGTCCATTAACGTTTGCCTAGATACACCCCCACAGCTCTGGAACATGCATGGCCTTGAGGAACTTTCACCTCTGCTATATGTAAACAGTGCCGTTTTCAGAAAGCTACAAATTCTTTACTTTTATATTCAACTACTTCATATCCTACCACTTCAAAAATTTCACCAGGGCAACAACTACAGCAAAGGTATGCCTGATGAAGTCAGGAGGCAGGTGCCAGATAATGGGAAGCAAAGAATAGTTCCTTGTGACTTTGATTTGAAGGAAAGCAGCTGTGAGTGGTTCAGGCTGGTTCGCCCATTTCCTCTCACTACTATATTCTGATACTGTGTGGTTGATTCTTGTGCAGAGAATTCTGACCATTCTGTGCTGTGTATGCACTATTTGCCAATGCAAAACTACAGCATGTTTGTCCTCATTTATCAGCCTGTAAAGTGGTAAAGTCATTACAGTTTCTGGACTCTTCCTCTGCAGACATCTTGGTACCTGGACTCTCTCCAAACTATACGGAGAACTCTTTCTCCACTCTCTTCTATTTCTCACCATCCTCCTTGGAAAACCCACTGCCAGCTAGAGGAGACACTGACTGAGTAGGCTTTTGCTGAGCATCTGCTACCACATTTCCTCATTACATTCTGAAATTGTACTTTCTAGGATTCACTAAAGACACGGCACATATGACTTGTCAAGTTAAACATCCTTCCTGTGCAGTAACAGTGCACTTTAAACCCCCTGCTCTGCAACTTAAATGAACATAAAAGGATGTATACACACCCCACACACAGAGTTAAAATAGATGACTAACCATGCCTAAGAGCTAAATGCTGCTGGTAGCTTTTCTATCACCTAGTTGCTGCAGTACTGCATTTTCTGGAGATATATAAATTTCTGGAGAAATATAGAAAGTACAGAAAACTCAGTGCTCTGAGCAAGCTGCTTTTCCAATACACAGTTCTGCCTCACCATCTGAGACCTGAGGAACCTCTACTTTTCAGTCTCCAACATTGATATTTTCAGACCAGTGGCAGTGTCTCTTCTTGAAATCTGCAAGCTTGTCCTATTACCAAAAGTTTAAAAGTGCCTTTCATGCTACTTGAGTAGAATTCCCCCACAAAATGCTTTGATGCAAATTTTGCCCTCAGAGAAAAAGCCAGGGAAGATATTGTCCCTGCTCTGAAGTCATCCAATATCTTGCTTTAACAAGCTGTCTCTTGGAGATGGATATTCACAGTCCTGCTGGCCTAGAGAATGAAGTACATTTTTTTCATGTGTCAGAGCAAAGCACAATGATTAATACAAGCACACTGAGCCAGGTTCTTTCTTTCAGATAAACAAGCTTAAATGAAAAGTCAAAAAGTGCAGAAATGCTTCTCCAAAACCTCAAAATGGCCAGAAACTAAAAATTGGCATTTCTGGCATTTTTCAAGACTACTCTATTTCACCAACTTCCCATGTGAGGAACCCACAGAAAGTAAAAGCAGTTCCTAAGGTGAGTCCATCGGCTGGATGAGAGCTCCTTACCCCCACCAAGGAGAACCTGTGTGCCCAGCACCATTACTTACAGATTCCTGCATGGGGTGACTGAGAGGTTTGTCCAGAGCTGCCATGCTGCTCGGCATGTCTGGGGGATGTGACAGCTGTGGCCCATGCATGAAGTCATTCATAGATGTGCCACCAGGATTCCCATGCGGGAAGTCAAAATTGCCATGACCTTGGTAACTGTTGCCTGAAAGAGAAACAGATGTGATTTGTTTCCAAGGTTGATCTCTGAGTATCTTGCAGGAGCTGTGTGATGAGTGCCCTCCCTGCACAGCACAGGGAGCTGTGACACTGAGCTTGACAAAGCTGTGGCCCCAGTGATGAGAGAGTGGGGACAGGGCACTTGGCTTCCAAACACTGGCTGCTGCAATAATTCATTTACGAGTTGGAACTAATTGAAAACTGCTGACACTTTGAAAAACTATTGCCAAGTCACCACATAAACTTAACCATGCTGAGAAGTAAACAGGATATTAAATTCTATGGGGTATTTGTATCTGGAAGCATCTCAGTGTAACTGAGACTGACTGCCCAAGTCCAGGATTATTTATCGGACACCTGTGTTATTTATGGCTGTGCTTCTAAACACTCAGTAAGACTGTAGCATTGCTTCAGCTTCTGATGAAAATAATTGACAGAAGTGAATCTGGAAGATGCCACAATACCAGTTCATAGCACAGTCTCTACTCTATCCCTTCATAAAAGGCATAGAAGAGGTGTTCTTATCTAATTGGGGCTCCCACAAAACTTAGAAAATTCCCTTGACTGACTGGATTTACACACACATCTTGAAGCCTGGAGTCCCCTCCTGCTCTGCAGGACAAGTACTGTATGACCACCGTCCATAGGGATCCAGCCCACCTCAGCCCAGGGATCTCCTGAATTCTAAAGCAAGCACATATCCCAGTACAAGGATTTTACTCTTCATATTTTTTGTCAAGATTGCTCTCTTAACACTTCTAACTCAGATATCAACCCTAGTGGCTTATTTGCTATGAAAAAGTGAACTAAAACCATTCACCTATTTCATACAAGCAACTGAAGTGGATGATACTGAGCACTGAAATAACAGAACAGCTTTGGAGCTTGCACAGAGAGCCTGCAGTTTGTCAGTAGAAGTACCACAGTTTTAAATATTCAACTCAAGAAGGGAGTTTGACAAACTGAAGTAGTTGCATCATTTGCTCTTTAGCACAGCTTCACAAGCAGAAGTTTAATCTTGGAGGAATAGTAGTCATTAGCCATGTAAGAGTACTTCTCAAAGATGTCAGGACTTTGATCTATCATGTAAATACTGCAGAGTCTTACTAATTCTCATTTTGTTAATCTGCAAACTGGATGAGTCTCACAGAACATAGCTGGTCTTGCCTTGCATCAGGAATAATTAATTAGCAGGCAGCTGGAATGTGGTCTTGTAGCACTGAAAATTTGTTATGTTTGCAAATTAAACCTCAGTATGCTTCCTGTCAAACCCAAATAAACAAACATAAACCACAGTAGTAATACTACTACTACTACATTGCTCTGAAGAACTGTTAATCAGAGGACATTATGTAATTGCAATCACTAAGTTTCAGCGCACGTATTGATGGAGAATAAAGATAAAAGGCACTGTGCCCAGGGGTTACAGCCACACAGCAGCAAGCCCCTCTCTGCAGCAAGGGCAGAGCCACGTGCTGAGGGAGAGACCTGTGAGACATTTGGGATAATCTGGCACACTGTGTGACATCCCTACTGCAGGGCAAACAGGTGGGTTCACCTGCCAGAGGGCACTCAGGGCTCCAAGGAGCAGTCACTGCCTCTGCTACAGGACCCAGAGGGGAAGGCAGCAAAGTAACAGTCTAGGCAGCAATGCTCACAGCAGGCCTAAACCCCACATGTGATGTGGCTATCCTGTCTGCTCCTGAGCATGAGCTGGAAATATGGTGAGGAATAGACAGCTCTGTTCTCAGGCTCTGACTGCACTTCACTCCTACTAAATGGGGGGAAAATAAGTGATTCAGTGCTCTTGGCTTTGTTATAGTAATCATTCATCTGTTTGAAAACCTTGTAGGTTTTATCATCTGTCATCAGTTTTGCAGTCACTGGAGCAAATTAACCGTATTTTGCACGCAATCTATATTTTTCTTCAACGCCTGCAAAAAGCACATGTATCACCTTGTAATCAATTTGGGGATTCTGATAGTGTGAACAGTTGGTCTTTTCCCAGAACTGAACTGACTCATATAATGTTACTTGCAAAAGAAACAGTCTCTGGTTTCATGTTTTCAGAATTGTCACTATAATTGAGTTATTCACAACATACCAGTAATGTGAAAACCTATCTCCATTGCCTGCATTTAGTTCCCTGTTCCTCAGTCTGGTAGCACATGGGCCAAGGAGCTCAAAAGTAATTTTCTAATGCAAAGGTGTTTGCAAAGCAGCTAAAAGTTTTTTACAAGTTGTCCCTTTTCTGGTGGTCTATGGAATGTCACTCACCTGGCCACAAGCTAACCTAGTGGCCCAAGTAGCAGGGTTAATGGGTCAGGTTTTCTACTTATGTAGTACCAGATGTTTTCTCTTGAGAGTGGAACAGAAGGAAAATGCACAGAAAAAAATTGCAGAAATATGTCTATTATGGCAGGCCATGAATATAGAAGGTAATATACAATGTTTCTTGATTCAGGGAGGGCTGCATGACTATGAGTATGACAAGCACAAATACGTAAAATATTAAATAAAATAATTATTACTATAATATATAAGCAAAATATAATACTTACTAAAATATATACTCCATTGACCAGATGAACCTTAACTGAAAAGACCTACTCAGAATTTCAGAATTGCAGCCATATCATTTACTGTCCTCATGTATCACTCTGAGAGGATGCACTGACACACCTGAATCACAAGGCTGACTGAAGCACTGAGGCCAGAGAGAGCAGCTGGGTGCACAAAGCCATAGCACTAACCTTGGTTACCATATTCAGTGGAGTTGTTGCCTCCTGGAGGAGGGGGTAGGGATGGGTAAGGTGATGGACCAGGACCCAAAGCTGCAATCATCTCCATTACATTTGGCATGATCATCTGGCTTGGACTCATTGTCTTAAATCTTTTTGAGGGAATGCCATCTGGGTCATCTTTGATGTGAATATCTGACTTTATAGGAACCGGCCTCCAACTGCAAGTTGGATCAATGGTAACTTCTTCAAACTCGGAGCTGTAAAACAATGTGAAAATTTAGCATTTAGTTGAATATTTTTAAATCAATTCTGCTGAAGTTTCCATAAGAATCTGCATGGTAACCAATGTTCTGAAAAGCTCTGGTGTAATACAACATTAAGATCTCTTACTCCTCAAGAGTGTGCTGAAAGCAAATTTAAAAAAAGGCAACCATGAGAACACATTTCTGTGTTTATCCACACAATGAAATCCAAACATATCAATGTGGTTTGTCACCTCTGAATCAGAGGGACTGCTTGTAAATATAAGAAAGTATTTAATCCTCCATTCTGGCTCGTCCCTCTGCTTCACTGGTGAAGCTGCCATTAAGAAATAACCCAAACAACATCTACAAAGAAGATGGAAACTGATTCACTCTGTCACCTGCTCCCCCCAAGACACCATGCAATGGAATATTCAAGTTCAATCACCAAGATCTATTTTGGTGTGACTATCTCAGTACTCATTGCCATAACTCCTAGTTGCTTAGTCTTGGATATCAGCAGGGAGATCACTTACTTTTGTATGGCGTTCAGAATACCCCACATATACTGGTCAACCTCCAAGCCCTCCAAGAGAGCAGTTTTACTAAAAAGTAAAAAAAAAAAACAAAACCAAACTTCATGTTAGAATATTGCAAGGGAAAGAATGATTTGGGGAAACAGTTTTAGTTCTACATCTACATTACCAGGATATTTACACCAAATAAATAAGGATACATCTACTTGTGTGTGTCCACAAGCTGTTCACATTCTTTAAGTAATTTTTGTTAGTGAAATACACTGCAAATTTGAAGTATTTCCAAACATAGCAGATCTCTCCTGTGAACATCAGTTAGCACTATTTTTTTTATTAGATCTTTCTCTTTTTTGAGGTCCACAGTACTACTGCAAAGCAACTAAGTGTTACAGCTACTCTACTTAATGGGTAGCACAAATGGGGACAGAACAAAACAAAACTGGAAATGACTTAGCTATGTAGACAGATCTGAATGCAGGTGCTCATGCTTAGAGACACAGGACAAAAATTTAGCCTAGATGCATGGATACATGAATTAAGAAGGCAAGATAACCAACTCTCATGATATTTTTATCCAAATGTAGCAGACAGAAGAGATTTGGGCAGTTTGGAGAAAGCACTTGTGTGTTAGGGCACAGATCAGCCGTGGACAGTAATGGAAACGAGCTCGTCTCCAGCCTGCCATGTCCTCAGAGCATCCAGAGTGGGTAATCCCCACTGCTGTTTGTACCTAACACTGGCTGGCAGAGCAAGGACCCAACTGCAGATTGTGCAGGGCCAGGGCCAGCTGTTACAGCCACAGCTGCTGGAGCTGAAGAGCCCTGGCTCCTCAGCTGAGGCTGGAGCCCGCTCCCAACCTGTTCAGGGAGCACAGGAGGTGACAGACACTGAACTGGCCTGCAGACATTCTGCTGCGTTTTCTGCCCAGTTAAACAAGGATGGAAAATCTGTTACCACTTACAAGTTTTTCTTCCATTTTTTCTGCAGTACGCTAACTCATTGGTCAAAATATTAGCTTGAAATTATACCAAGGTATCCATCTCTCTTTTTCTCTAAGCAACAACTCCAGCTTTTGCTCCTTGGAAATTTTTTAAAAAAAATCAGCCTTATTCTAGATTGTAGATATCTATCTTATCAATGTAAATATCTGATCCTCTTTTGAACCCTACACAACCCATTGATGATCTGGAATGAAATCTGGTGAGAAAATATATTGTTATGTTTTTTAAATTTCTAATAACCCAGGGTGGTAAAATATTGCAGGAATTCTCATTGGACTTTATGCTATTTAAGTAAATGTGATATATAACCTTATTTCCTGGAACTTCCTTCTTCTCTCCTTTAAGATCTTAAATATGATCTGAATTTGGTCAAAGTGTGTACAACTGCATTTTATGTAGTATGGATGCACTTACTTGCATACTGGACACCGCCAAGTTCCTCTTTCACAGTTCAGTTGCAAGTAAGATTCCAGATCAAAGCACTAGGTATCAGAAAAAAACAAAAAAGGAAAAAAAACAAACCAGACAAAACAAAAGGAAAATACTGTATTAAATGAAGCAGTTAGACAAAAGTAAAATTGACATGAAAAAAGCCTCCTAGCACTGAGAACTAAAACAAACAGCTTACTGTTCTCCTTTACATTAAGCATCATACAGTTAACTACTGAGGCTTACAGACACAAATGCCATGTTTAGGTGCTCCCACACTGAAGGTACTGCACTACCACGTGGCTGAGGGACCCTGCAGGCACTGCCCCCACTCACCTGTACGTGCTTGCAGTCGTGACCCCTGGCCGGGAGCTGGATCCGCCGGAATGTGATCGGACACTTGAGAGACACTTTGATAGCAGTCTGCTCCACCCCATCCTCCCCATTTAGTGTTGCATTGCCAGAGGAAGCTGCTACACTGCTGAAGTTCCTCTTGACTGTTTAGGAAGAAGGTGAGAAAGCACAAGTGTATTGTAAGTTCTTACACAGAAATCTGAAATTTCTTCAACATTTAAGAAATTACTTCAACATCTAAGGGACAATTGAATGAACAATAGGCCCACAGAGGTGTCTTCTGAGTAATTTAGAACATTCTCCTGAACAGAAAAAACATCATACATGCATATCAGCTATATTCTTAATCAAATTAAGTGTCATACAAGTACTGAAAGCAGCCCTAGATAAATAAAGAATTAATCTTTCTTTATTGGTGAGTCAAAGACAAATACAGGGGAAAAGCCAGAGAGATTCTTCTGGAATAGGACAGTCCTCTTTAGGAACTAAGCTTGTGTCCTTGAAACTTTGTTACCTCCACCCAAATAGCCATTCATCTATCCACATCATGTTCTGCAAATTCCTTAAGTACAGCTTTAGGTTATCAGCAAACAAGTAAATCTGGTGCAGAGATAGCTTATCACAACTGAACATAGACATTCTGGGAAATCATCACCCCCACAGAAGGCAAACTCACTCTTGGTGATACAATGCTCTGCTGGGAGGAGGCGTTTCTTCAGTAGACCTTGGAGTACGGAGCGGACCGATGGCCGGTGCACCAACTGCAACACGAACAAGTGCGACTGCAAGGAAACACTTCTTGTTAGGAAGGGAACCCAGCACACAGGTTAAACGTTTGGGAGTGTTTAATGCACTCCCAAACTGAGCTGCACTCTTCCCTTGGACACTTGGTTTCTGTGAGAGCCTGAGGCTTAAACATAAAAGCTGGTTCTGCTCTGCTGAGCACACACGCTCCCTTATGGATATTCTGCACACTGTGCAGTTACTCCACACTTCATGTAAAGAAGGGCTTTAAAAATGCAAGGATTTTCTGCATTTTCTCCCTCCCGAATATTCAGTATACATTCAGCTGACATATTAATCTCTGACTTCGGGGTTTATTTTTAAAACCTTGGACTGTCTGACACAGCCTAGCCTTACCTGCCTGCCCTCAGACTACGCTGGAAGTTGTGAAAACAATTTGCAACTGATGTGCCTGGAATCAGCTGAATCTTCTTACCCAACACAGAGCTCGTTGTGGATTCACAGGATGCTGCCCCCTGCTCTTTGCCACCAGATAAATGACCTTATGCAGGGAAACACCCATGTGAAGTAAAGAAAAATGGGTGGATGGCTTCTTGTCAAAGTGCCTCACACCGTGACCTTGTGAGAGCTAGCAGCTTGCTTTATTGTCAGTGACAAGAGAACAGTCAGAAGCTCTGACTGGATTTGCAGAACAGTCTGCATTAAAAATACAGTACTCATCCCCAAGAGTAACTAACCCGTGGAAAAGGAGAAAGGGGAAAGCTGAATGGTCTAGATTGCATCTTTGAATATGAGTTTTTCATCTGAAAAGGTACTGAAAATTCATCACCAGCACCAATGTTGATGTTTTCATGACAAACCAAAGACTGTATAGTTTAATACACTATGTAAATGAAATTAGTACCATCAACAGTCTTCATTGCAATCATCTACTTCTACATCAACAGACTTCAGCTCCCTTGTTACACAGGCACACATGAGAAGGTGGGAGATAAAACTCCCTCCCCTAGACCATGAACCTTGTCAGAGACATTGGAAGGACGCCACTACATTCTGCAACAATTAAGCAGCAAAAATTTCCATATTAGCACTCTGACTGTGTCAACATCATTAAGTAAAAACCTTACCAGAAAAAGGCATGGAAAAAAAATGAGAGTAAGGCTCTTTCAGCTAAGGCAACGTTTGCAAACTGCTGTAAATAGCAGAGTCAGCATGAGCAGCTGCAGCCCTGAGCGGGGTGTACTTACACAACAGCACGCTGTGACTGTAATCTGAATGGTGTTTCTCCCTGGCTGGCAGACGTGCTTTAGGTGCAGAGGTTTATGAGATGTCTTGTTGTCACCACGCTCGATGGTAAGTGGGGTTGCATTAACGCTGACCTGGACTGAAGCTGGCCAGTTTGTGTTCATTTGTCTGTCTTCATGGTGATAGCACTTAAACTGCAATTCCAAGTCAGACCTGCAAAACAACCAATAAATCTTCCTTTAACTTTGCTTTCACACTGCACAGGACGGTGGTTTTTATGCTAGGAACATTTTTATTGATCAATCAGATTATTTTTCTTGAATTATTGCCATTAAGAATATAACACACTTTCTTCATAAAAGCCCTGAACAAAAGCAAGTCATGATGAATTAATGATGCAAGCATGACCCGAAGTTGTTCCTATTTTACAATTTTAAAGGACTTTTCAAGGAAGCATCTCAAACCTCTTCGCAAACCCAGACCATGGAGTGATCCTGCAGAAAGAAGAAGGTCAACATCAGGTAGGTCCTTCCTGTCTTAGGAATTAAGAATGAGAAACCAATATGCTGCAATGGTTGTGCTGGAAGTCTGGATTCTTCACTACCTCAGAGCACTCAAAGAAGCATTTGAATGAATGCATGTCAGACAAAATACAAATACAGCTAATCCTGCCTTAGAACAAGTAAATTAACTAAGATAAAACTCCTATATCTTACTCCCCACCAAAATCAGTTTTCTGTGATTCTAAATTAACATGGCTGTGGACTAAATCTATCCAATTTGGACCTTCTTTCAGGGCATGAATTCCTCCCACCTTCCCTATGATAACTTTCACTCACTATTTAGCTCCTCAGAAATTAGTTCTATAACACCTTCAAAAAATGAAAAGGCTGAGATGAAGTTAATTAAAAATTAAGTGGGTAGAGACTATGACTTTAGTTTCATAAGTGTATGTTGACCTTGTGTTAGGAATGAGTAATTTCAAGAAGAAATTTAAAAGAACACAGAAAACTGAACTGAAATGTCAGAATTCTGCTGTTCTTGACAGCAAAAGACAGGTCAAAGTTTACTGTGCTAACTTTAAGTGTACATTCCTGAACAATGTATGTTACCTGAAAGAAGATATCTTTGTAAGATCCAAGAGGAGCAGCTCATTCAGGAGATTAACATCCTAACTGCCATTTTCCTTACAAAGATTTCAATCTGACTCAACACCATCTTTTCTGGATTCCAAAACATCAAGATTTAGCAGTGGACACAAACATGTGGGTTTTTTAAAAAGCAAGTTATAGAATACAAATTACCCGAGCTTTCAACATAAGCCATCTGCATGAAGTTTTTTCAGGCTTTTTTTCATTCTTTTAGTAACCATTTTCTGAAAGCTCAGTATGCAAATTCCACTCAGTTTCTCACCTCAGGAGACACAGCACAGTGATCCTGGAGGGGAGCAAGCCTTGGTAGCTCTGATACACGAGGCAAGCAGGAAGGTGAGCAGGCCTGCTGAGTGTCACAGGGTGACAGAGCTCAGGACAGCTCCGTGTCCTCAGCACACAGCATCTCCACCATGGGACATTATTAACAGCACAGCAGTGTGAAGGCTGAACCAGCTTCAAGGAGACATTTTCCCTGCCTTCAACCTTTCTGTTTATTGTAACCATGAGAGGTTCCCATGGGGAGAAACACACTTGCATTGCTATTCATTATGTGTGTGCACGTGAGAGGTTTTGCCGAATATTTTAACTAGCAGAAAAATATTGAGAATTGGCTCGGTTCCACCATTCTCTATAAAAACCAAAATCCATCCACACATGTGACTAATTCATTTTTCTGGCATCCATCCAGCCCTCAGCTTAATGTGAAATGACTTCATTACAGGACTATCCGTTCTCCCCACTATTAACAGGCTTTTCAAAACAGCAGACCTGAGCACAGTTTACCTATGAGTCTTCATTAAAATAAGTTTAAATAAAGGCTATGTGTTTGGTGAGGGAAGGAAGAAAGAAAGAACAGATATTAAGAAACAGCCTCATGCCTCAGTGCAGCACTATAAATCTACTGAATGAGCCAGCACAATCCCCAGTAGTGATTACTTATTAATAAGAACTGGCAAATAACTGCCAAAACTCCCCGTGCTGCGAGTACTCCACGTTAATGAAATGCAAGTAAGCAATAACTGACCTCAAAGTTAGGTGTTAATTATTGGATGTGGTCTGCCTGCAATCTCCCTCCCTCCCAGCCCCCAGGCTCCCTCAGGGCACAGGGGCACTGTGGTATCAAGGACTCCTGCATCCTGCATCAAGCCTCAGCTTTAGAACCAGAGTCTGTCCTGGGCCAGGGAAGGGAGCCCATCTCTCTGCCCACCTCACACTCCCCAAAACAGGAAAACACAAATCTCCAGTGGATTCCAGTGAATGGGATGAAGATTCTCACAGGAAAAAAACCCAAAACCTGAAGTTACACCTGTAAGCAACCTCCATGCAAGACTCCAAGCAACTAACCAGCCTCCACAAGGCACACAGAAAGGCTCAGACAATGCAGAGTTTATCCTGACTCAGCAAGGAGAAACACAGAGACACTTTCTGAGAAAAACCAAACAAGGAGACAAAATTATTTTGTAGTATTTGAAAATATATAAATTTTTAAAAAGTTAAGGCTCTGACTGTCATTTGATCTAAGGCCCTTCGATGAACATGGTGCAATCAAAACATACCCAAGAATCACTTACACAGATCTACATTAAATACAGCAAAGTACCACCAAGGAAAAATATTCCTCTGTGCTGGAAATAAGACTTCACTGCAAGTGAAAACCAGAAGCCTTTGTATGAAGAAACCTATGCTCTCACATTTCTGAGCTGTGTTTACTTGTGGAGTCCGAGAACAGGGGAATTTAGGAAGTTAGCTTCTCAGGTTTGGAGGATTTAAGCACTTGTCTTTCCAAATGATTTTACCAAGCCTCTAAGTCAGGTCCTTACTCTTAGTGGGTTATTCTTCTTTATCAGATAACTCTGCACTATTTAATTTAGGCATAAACTCTAAGAGCCCTGCAGAGCTAACACTACAGAGGTCACAAAGCACCTGGGGTCACTTCATATTCCCAGATGGAAGTTTGCAGTGGTGTGGGTCAGGGAAAACCCCACTCCTGTTCCAGCCAGAGCAGGAAGGATGCAATGGTTGCAGTGGTTTTTCAGACACTGCTATGAGCTATCAGCAAGGACATGCAATACTTGTTGTGAAGCATTTTAGAACGTGTTGCCTCTGGAAAATGACAGGTGCGAGTGCGTGCGAGCTGAAAGGACATTCTTCCTACCCAGGCTACAATTTTGAAGTGAAATTCCTGGCACACCTAAGCGCAGTGCCTGCAGGCTGGCACTGCTCCCTCAGGGATGCCCGAGTCCCCTCGGCAGGGCTGAGCTCACCTCCACATCAGAGTCTGGTGCACGGTGGGGCGCAGGTGAAAGACGTGGTTGCTGACTGCCAGGTTGTGCTCCAGCCGGAAGGGCTCCAGGACAACCCCGTCCCGCACGGGGAACGTCAGGCGCAGCTCGTCCGTGTGGTTGGCTGGGATCGGAGAGGGAGAGAAGGCGTGAACTTTCCCTTTAGCATCTGCAGTGCAACAATAACGTGTGTATTTATACAGAACAGGGACAAAGGCACAGTGATCTGTACTGGCTCTAACTTAGCAGGCTCACACACACACACACAAAAATACAATCAGAAGTAACTCTGTCGTCTAACTGATACAAGTGACAAGGCTCAAACTGAGCCTCTCCTATTGTCACCCACTTCACATTAGGGCCATAGCATTCCAGCCACCAACAGAAACCAGGCATGGCAAGAATTCCTGGTTTTCATTACAGGATAGGCTTTGTGTCCAAGCTTACTCTGTTGGCAGAAGACTGAAACAAATCTCTTAATAATGTCAAACTGTGATAATGTTTGTTTTCCCTGCTTTGAACAGGGATCAACATTACCCAATTAGTTTCAACAGTTTCATCAGCTGAAACTATGTGATGACCAGACACTGGTATTCAATTACTATCTGAGCCCATAAGAGGAGATTTTGAGGTAACTTACAGCTGATCTATGAAGTCCAAATGGCTTTAAATCCTGTGTTCTTGCCCAAATAATACTGCAGCCCATCTTCTTCTACTTGATTTCTCAGCTATCCTGAACTCCAGAGCTGCAAAGTGCTAATGCAGCAGCAGTTATTTTATAGAAAACATAAGGTTCTCCCAGCTCCCTAGTAAATGATGGCTCCCACTGTTCATCAGTCACTTCAAAACCTCAAACATCTCATGCTAGTATCCAGTCAGAGAGATCTTGTTATTCCTGCCTTGTTCCCAGCCAAGTGTAGCGGTGACGTTGAGTGGCTTTGAAAGGAACATATATCAATTTCTGGCACAGTACTGAATATTCCTAAGAAGCCTGTATGGATCACAATAGAGACACTGCTATAAATATTCACGTTTTATCCTACTCTGCAGTGTTGTTCAATGAATGGCTTTGCCCTTGAACAAAACAGCCCAAATGAAAGTTCATACAATAAACAAGCCTACAAAGTGCACACAGCAAAACATGAAATCAAGTGTTTTCTCCTCAGAAAGCATATTAAAGGAATAATTCTGGAATAACATCCTTACAAGTTTAACCTGGAAGAACTTTTCTGATATTCTATTTTAGAAGAGCATAGCAGTCTTTCTGTATTCTGTCCATGGATCCAAGTGACTCTACACTGTGCATGCCACCTGTTACCAGTTAACAACTCCAGCCTCTCCCAGAGCAGCAAGCAGAGCTACTTTCCAGACTCTGAAATGCATGTGGGAGAGAACAGAGGAACAATAAATTACTGTAGGGGCATTCTGTTTGCTACTCACTTGGAGGTGGTGGTAAAGCATTGATATTTGGTTTAATGTCAGGTGGGAATGGTGGTTTGACATCCTGGTTGGGTGACAGGTATGGAGGAATATTGCTCCCTGGTGTCATGGGTGGCGTGGGGTTTCCTGGAACAGGTGAATGAGGGTAATTTGCCACAGGTACAGGCCTTGATGGCTAGAAAATAAATAACATCACATTGTTATTGCAGTCTTGAAATAAGAACAATAAGCCTTGTGAACAGCACTGTTATCAAATATCAAAGACAACAGACAAGGGAGGGAGGCCCCTCTGTTTCTGGAGAAGAAACCACAGGATGTCCCAGGAGGCCTTCAGGGAAGAGGCACACTAGGAGAGCAAAGCAGGAACTGAAACCAGCAGACCAGCCAGCTTAACTCAGGCAATGACCAGATACAAGCAAGGCTGCTAAAAGATTTACTGGGTTCCTCTGAATGCTCTCTTTCCAAAACCAACCAGCCATTTGCTTCAGTTTTTCCACTGAGCCACAGCCCACCCAGCCCTTTGTATCCTTCTGCCTTCCTCACAAAATACCCCCAGTGCACAGAAGCCTACACAAAAAAAAAAAATTAAAAAAAAAAAAATCTAAAGACACACAATTAGCCAGTCTGTGTCCTTTTTACTTCCATCTATCCTTTCTTCCATCCTTGTTCAACTCCTCTACTCAGAGTTAAAGCTCTGAGGGTCAGGGGATGTTTTTTATACTGTGCACCTACAACTTGATTCTGCTCCTAGTTTGCTGCTAGCTAAGACAAACTGATAGAAACAGGACAGTTAAGTATGAATAGTAGCTATGTATTAAAACACCTTTGCTTTAGTTTATAATAATTAAGGAGATGGTTACAGTCAGCAGAATAAACCAATAACCCTGATGTGAAGGAAGCTGACATTAAATAGAATTGCAGCTGCATGGCTCATGTACCATAAGCAGAAACACAGGAGAGTGTCAGAAAACCAAAATCTTCACAGACAGCCCAAGAACTGTGACTTCAAATCTGACTCTTTATCTAAATGCTGCTCTGCTAACCTAAGATACTTGAGACTTAAACATTCAGGTTTCCAGCCATCTTTGGTTTTTATATTTGGCACACACAGTTACTGTCTGCACAATCACTACAATTCAAAGGTTCAGGTTTTGATTGTGGAATTTTCCCCTTAACCAGGATAATCTGCCTTTTTAACAAGATCTGGTTTTTCCTAACAGTTTCCAGAGAAGTCAATATTGGAATACAATATAGGGGGTTCATTGTAAAGAAACAAATTCCCTGTCAGGAGTATCCGGCAAACAAAAAACTTAAACCCCATCTAAAATAAATGTACATAAAATATATTTAAAATCTGTCACTTCAAAATTTGACAGAGATCTTCTGCAGCTACTTTAGCATAAATGACTGCACTGGAATGATTATACAGAAGATCTGTCTATTCCTCATGTTTTTCCTGACAGTGACCTGCAAAAGCTGCCATGATCCAACAGGCATTCCTTTGGGTACCACAGTGGACAGCACAGCTACACACAGAACAGATGCTCTACAGAAAAGGGTTTTGCTTTCTCTCTTTTTTTTTAATGGTGTTTTCTGTGTGAATCACACCAAACAATTCCAATTTAACAACAATGTGCAAGTTAGATTCTTTCAGCCTACATTCAAATTCAGAATGCAGTCCAAATACTTCAACAGCTAATGCTTTAAGCAGGTCAGAAGATCAATGGTCCTCCCCATTTTTATACTCACTGGAGTACCTGTGTGCAATAGATCATTTGTGGGCATTTCAAAGATGCCAAAGCTCAGCAGGCCCTCAGTGCAACCTCAGTTTGGAGAATACAAAGTGCTCAAGATGTATCAAGATGTATAAACAGGCTTTAGGCAACATTTTAACAACTCTAGTTCTTGCCCAAAACAAGAGCACAGAGGGAACAAACAGAGAAAAAAAAAAAGGAGGAAGAGGTTGGAAAAAGTCACAGAAACTTCAGTTCAAAGGTGAAACCCACAGCTGGAACACCTTTTAAGTTTGGCCTGGCTTAATCCAACAGTGACCACTGTAGGTCCAAAACTGGAATGCTGCAATGTGGAACTTGTTTATTACAGATTTCCATGCTTGCATTCTTGCAGGGGACCACAAATAGGTGAAAACATTACACCTGAATCCCATTAGGTACTTCTTTTTACAAGCTATTTTTAAAGCAAACCCAACATTTTCTTGTAAAAGCCTCTAATGAGCTGCAGCAACATTCAATTTTGTGTATGAACTGCTCTGAAGTTGCAATGCAACTTGGCAGATTGACTGATTCTGTGATACCCAAAACACTAGTAAAAATTTGGGCGTTTTTTTTTCTATCTTCCCCTGAACTACATAAATGCAGTATCTATGAAATCATTAATGTGACTTCATTAATAAATGGCCACCAGAACACAACAAAGTAATAATCTCAGGATTCCTACCTTGTAATACTGCCCCATGTTGACTGTTGGAGGAGGGTACTGCCCTGTGTTTTGCTGGCTTGGCATCCTCTGTCCAGGATAGTTGGGAGATGTGAGGGGTCTCGGAGGGTTGGGCGTGGGGTACTGACCAGGCTGGTTTGGAAACTGGCTGTTTGGTCCATACTGCTGGTTTCCATAATTCGGCTGTTTCAGGGATGCAAGAACACAAAGCCATGTTTTATACAAGCAGCTTTCTTGTATGGATTATTAGCATACGTTCAGAAGCACAATCAAAACAAACAAAACCCCTTCAGATAAATACTTCTTAAAAGCATAAAAATCTTGCAAACCAAAGGGGGGGTAAGACACACACACTCAGCCTTGTAACACTGTCAAAGGGCACTGTGCTTGAAGAAACCAGAATTACAACCAGATGCAAAGTTCACAAAAATTCTGTGTTTTTTAAGTGCTACCACACCCAAGCCTGGGGCTCCTTTTTCAGATGTAGAATGGAAGCACAAAAAGAAAAAGTTAAATAAATAAATAACTAAAACAAAACCCTGGAAGGGACAAGAGCACAGAAGATGTGCTTTCCATGCCTGCCTTTTCAACCCAACTGCTCTGCTGGCCTCTTGCCAGAGTGTTCAGCAATACTTTAACAGCTAAAGAGAAGTTCTTACTAGTCATAAGCACTTTGCTAGTGCTAGCTAAGACTGCCCTGTGATTTTGGAATTGAAGTAATGAAAATTGGAACTCCAAGGGTAGTAGAATGTCAATTTGAAAAATAAACTTAATAATAAGACATTTCCATAAATGAACCCTACAATAAACAATAGGCAAACATCATCTGCAAAATTCCAGCCCATCAATCAAGCAACATTTATGGGACTGTTCAAAACTGACTTGTTGGAAACATGAACATATTCACTTACAATTAAAAACCTGATTCTGAAGCAGCAAAAAACAGATTTAAAGCCATCCTTAAAATATGAAATCTGAAAAATCAAGTGAACAAGCTACATTTTGTGTTTTCTTCACTTACTTGTAAATAAGTTCTCTTAAGAGAAGCAACTCCTGCAAAAGCACATCCCTTTTTTATTTCTGATTAGTTTTTTATTTAGAAAAAACAGTTTGCAGAGCAGGAAAGAAATGTAGCTCTGTAGAGCAGGCAGAAATGTTTTCTGTATTTTCTGCATGCCACGGTCCTCTTTGCTGTGCATTTTCCATAAACTCTTAGTACCATAATTATTGCCAGGGCAGTATCATAATATTCAGAGCTCTACACTTGCTGCTGAAGTCTCAGCTGAATACAGAATTTCACCAGGAAATGATCTCTGAAGCTACTAAGTGAGGGCTAGATTTGTAAAAACATTTAGGTGTGGGTAGATGCTGGGAGCTGCTGGAATTCTAAAAAGCCTCTACTGCCCAATTCATGCTAACTTGAAGAATAAAACACATTAGTGCTTTTCAATTCCAAAAGCGTATTTGTCTACATCTTCAGTTTTCTAAATTCCTCTAAAAATTTGAGCCTAAGTGTTTTGCCCTGTCATAATACAAGTCAATGGCAATGTAATTTTGCCTATAAAGCCAAGCAGATCTCCTGTAGCAGCATGGGACCTTATCACGCTCCACAGAAGCTGGTATTAGATAAATGCTGACAGAGAGGGATTTGAGTTCAACATTATTTATATTCATCTTAGTGACTATGAAAATCAACACTGAAAAAGTTTGGAAAGCAACTCTTCTCTAAAAAATGACTGCTATTACTACTGGTGTTACAGTACAATGTCTGTCTTGTATTTGATTAAAAAAATAAAATCGTCCAAGAAAATGCAGATCAGATATCTACTGGGCTAAAATGAACTATTTCACCCTCAGTGTCTCTTCTAAGTTGCCACATTAAAAGACTCCACTTATGTGATGGAACCCTGCTTAAGATCTATGAAGTCAGCATGAGAATCTTAGAATGATATTCTGGTTTGGGGCCTTTCTTGGACTTAGTGACCATCATATGGACTAACACAGCAAGGGTTAACCTGAATACTTCAGAAGCTAAAAAGGAAGAGCTGCTCCTGCTAATATTTTAATGGCTGCACTCCTACCGAGGCTGGAACAAAGATGCACCTATCTTAGAGGGATGTGCACCACACCTTACCCAGTATGCTGCCACTTGAACAGTGTTCACAAAAGATCATTTCTTTTATTACCTCTCCTGGGTATGGTCTCTTTATGCCCTGTATAGGCAAAGACTGGGGGCGTGGGCCTGGGTAGGCCTGCTGAGGCATCCTCTGCCCATGGGTGCTGAAGGGGCTCATTCCAGGAGGCCGGGGCTGGTTCATGCCCATGGGTGGCCCGCTCATGCTGGAAGGTGTCATCCCTGCTCCCATGCTTGCTGGGTTCATGTTGCCTGGCATGGAAGCAGGACCACGAGGACCAGGCTGGTTCATAAACTGGTTGTTGTAAGCCTGAGTTGGACCCATCTGGAAAGAGGAACAAACCTTCAACGGAAGAAGAAGAAAAAAAAAAAAAGAATAAAATGCGACATGCATTTATAAAATGGGAAGAGGGAGCTGAACGTGCTTTTGGGGAAGGGAAGAAGGGGAGGATTTATGTCGCATTTTCCTTCAATGGTCTCTAACATTTGATGGGCGGTGAAGTTATTTATAATAAAAATTATAAAATGCATAAGAGTGGAAGACAGATGTAAGCCTAAGGTGACGAATTAATTGTTTCAACTGGCTGGTCTAGAACTGTAAGGTAACAGATTGGCTGTGCAAACAGAGCACAACACCACAGGTCCTAAGACCCTGTGCTTTTCATCACCTGGCATATGGACTCTTACACTTCAGAATTCAGAGAAGTAAAAAAGGTAAGAAGGAAAAACCTGAATTGATCAAGCCCTTGTTTATTTTAAGAAAACAATTATTCCATGATGTCATAACAGGCTAGAAGTTATGGATCACTGGAAATGCATCTCTTTCATAGATGCCCATATAGACAACATTATTACAAACCAAATCTCTCTTCTATTGTTGTTTCCCTGTTTGAAGGGAAATAACCCAAATAACCAGCTGCAGTTAGCAAAATAAACAACTGTCCAAGAACTACAAAATCTATTGCAAGATTCTAGAACATTTCACTAGGTATTCAAATTTAGAGGGCTGGCAAAGACAGCAATAATGTATCATGTCAGATGCAGCCGTAACTGAGAAATCTTTCATTATTTTCAAGAGGCAACCCCTAAACTTCAAAATACAGTTAGGCAAGTTTTATTGGGAAAAACATGGGGACTGACTCATACCTACATACACACATTCCAGCAGTTTCTCATAAGCACTTCTAACCATGCTCATGCACCAGAACAAAGTAAAAAAAATACAGTAGGCACCCTAACAAACACAACAGTGAGAAGGAAGCCAATTCCCTGCAATGGCCCAGCCCAGGCAGGTATGAAGACATAAGGGTTACTCTCTTACCGGTCCATACTGGTTCATGTCCTTATTCTGTGTTTCCTGAAGGGCTGCCACAGTGGCTGTGGCTGTAGCTGTTGCTGTAGCAGCTGCAGCTGCAACTGCAGCAGCGGCAGCAGCTGCAGCTGGCTGGGTGAAATCAGCTGGTGGCCTCGTGTGGGGGGGGATCCCCATTCCTGCAGGGGTATTTGGGCCTCCAGGGTAACTAACAGGGAAGAAGAGAAAGGAGGAGAGAATTAAGATGTGCCTGCTGGATTTTGTTCTGAATGTTGGTGGGATCCTCACCTGGAACCATTCCAAAAGCACGTATCAATGACTAATGAAAGCCAGCAGGCCAGGTAATTAGGTGTGTACAGGAGACATGGATTGCATCTACAGGCTACACCTGCCTCCCAGGTGCAACAGTCACAGGGCTGCCACTGGGATTGCAAGGCATTGCCAGCAGTCATTTTGGGGGCAGTGAACTTCTTTGCAGCTCTGTAGCTTCCTGCAAAGTAGGGCTGAACTGTCGGAAGGAAATGCTCTGTTCCTCAGTAGTGTAGGGGCAAATGCACAGGAGCAGGAACAGCAAACTTCCTCCAAGACAGCACATTAATCTGCCTCAGTGGTGAATTATGGCAAGTGTTCAAGATATCATAAAAGCATTTCTCCCTGAACCTTAGCAGAAAGGCCAGGAGAGACCCAATGCAATCGACTCCACTGGATCCCACACTGTGTGTTCTGCAGTTCCTGCCCATCTCTTCTATTGATCCTGAGATAAACCAACCTAAGCCAAACCACGCCTTTCCCACTTCAAATATCTTTGTAAATATGGGCCAATACACTGTGTCCATTTTTGAGATGCTAATACAAAGCTGAAGAAACTTTTTGGCTTGTTCAAGGTCACTCAGTAGATCAGAGGCAGAGATGAAGGAAGAGATAAACTCTGAGTCCCAAGCTTATATTCTTCACACTAGACTGCCTATGCTAGCAGCAGCAGTCTCTTCTGCAGCCTTTGCACCATAAATAGTGGTTTCAGTTAAGTGCCCTCACCATCCCTGTTTACAAAGTATAGACACAGAAAATCATCATGTAACTAATGCCAGGCTATTACTTTTGGATTATATGAGTAATGCGGCATTTACTTCCCCAAAATAAATACACAACACAACCATATTTTTTAACAAACATCTTCATTACTGATTCTTTTCAAATTCCTGCTGTGGAGTAAGTCTTTGGGCAGAAATATTCTGTTGCATAGCAAACTACTTTGCCCAAGCTTACTCCTCCATATGCACGTAGAAATTATACCATCAATACCTTTCACATCCTGGCCTTATTAAATGTTAATCATTCCTAAGCCTGTGGTCTGTTTAACAATCTCTCTTAATTAAAACTTTATTTTGGGGGTTTATTAGAGCTAATTGATTGACCTAAGCCATTGCCATTTACTGTGATGAATTTCTTTGCAGTTTGGGTAGCTGATTTCCAAAGCTATAAAAGCAGTGTGTGCTTCAGTTAACCAGCAAAAAATAGCTACTGAGACTTTATATAATTAAAATAAGCCCATGACACTTTTTCCAGGTCACTAAAACAAGCTTTACCAAGTATTTACATCCATTTTCCACCTCAGAGAAGTAAATCTTACCTGCCACCAAACCCTCCACTTCCAGGATAATTGGGTCTGCCATACATGCCCTGCTGTATGTATGGCTGAGTGGAGCCTGCCTTGGCTGAAAATTGCTGCTGCTGTCCAGCAAACTGAGGGGAATTGATTCCAGGGTTGCTGGTTGTCATCCCAGAAGCCATGGGATTTCCTGCTGGGTTCATAGGGTTGTTAGCATTTGCCATTGGATTTCCCAGCACCTGCAAGAAGAAACAGGAGAGTAAGGGGCTGTACCTTGAACTACTTCAAGCAAATTAAGTTGATTTGCTGCAGTTGTTAAATTAAAACATAACCACCTGTACTCTGAACTCTAATGAGCACAGACCTCATTGACATCTAGGTGCACATTCCTGGCGATTTCTACTTCTGCCATTTCCAAACAAACAGGTGATTTTCAACTAGATGGAACTCAAATTAATATGCATATTAAAAATACTTATGAGAAAGATCTGCTACAACCATGCTGTGACCATTCATCTGACTAAAAGAAAGGACATAGCTTTTTTTTTTTGGGATGGAGGGTGCGAAGGGGTGAGAGATTTTTTTGTTTGGTTAATTGGTTGATTGGTTTGTTTGATACAGGATTCTGAGGTAACTTGGAAGTAGTCAGTCCCACTGGCACAATGCAAATGGTACTACAGATAGAAAAACTGTGAAAGAGCATATTTCAATAGTTTAACCTATTCTTGACTCCATAAGTAGTGTACAAAAGACTACTGATTGTTTTTATTGCTTCTTATAAAAGAGTCCTCTGTTCTCTGTATAAAAGGACTTGTTTTGTTTGCTAAAAGGATTGGTTTTCCCAAATTGCTATGATTTCCATGGAGATGTAAGTGTGGCTGTCCATGGATCACCTGCATAAGATTTCCTGGAAAGTCTCCTACTCGGGAAGAAACTCAGGTTTTTGCAGAAGACTAACTCAACAGCTTCAGGCATTTGAGAGAAGGAATTGGTGAACCCAGCTCACTCCTTTCCCTCAAAGAGCACAAAGACTTACATGAAATCCTGACATTCATTTCAATCTGCACTGAATAGCTATAACCAAGCTTCATGTTCCAGAGTCTCACACCACTCCTTTGCAGTGACCTTCAGAGTCACTGCATTTTCTTTCTTCATGCAAGAGATCTTTTCCTTCTATTGCACCTTCCTCTGAGTACCATGAAGAGTTCAAGTAACATTGCAGTACTCCTATGACAGACAAAACTCTGAGTATTTTTTTATCTTACCTTTTGCCTTTTTAAGTGTAAAAGAAACTATATTTTCATTTTCTGGCAAATATAGACCAATATGTTTACTCAGGTATTTCTCTCCCAGATGGGACACCTTTTCTTGTAAGGTGTTAAAGAAATCAACAATAATAAAACATGTTTTAGATCCTGTAACTGTTTCCTCTTCTTGTTTCATTGAAGAAAGATTTTACCATAAACAGTGCTTACATAACTGCTGTGTGAATATCTATATGACTTGGCCTCTGAATAATTTCTTTTTCAAATGGCTCATTCCATTACAATTTCATTTTTAATCTTCTTAGCAAAATTAAAATAACAAAAAAAATCCCCAGAAAATTTTGTATGGGATCTAACACCACATGGTTGGAAAGAAGTAGAAAAGACAGGTTAGATTTATGTACCATTTGCACTCATTAAAGATGGTAATGTGTTTTTTGAGCTTTTCACCTATGGTGTAAGCAAAGGCCAGACTGTCGGCATGCTTAATTTATACCACATCCCTAGGAGTGCACTATCACAAGTAATTGGTAACTTCTTCATAAAAGCTGCTTCTTTTTGTATAGTGCAATTCAATATACAACACAGAAGAAAAAGAGAGTTAATAGTGGAGAGAACCAAATGATGATCCAGGAAGCATGGCTCTCACCTGGGAGCCAAGAGCCCACACTTGTGTTCCAACGCATGTTGAAACATTTTTACAAAGTTAGCACTAACAGGAGAGACTGGAAAGAACACAGCCTAAAATTTGTAGTTAGCAACTCAGCGTGGGGTAGACTTGGTATTGAATTTCACCAGCCCACAAGTACAACACAACCCCAGGTAAAATCAACAACTATCATTTGGTGAATCAAGCTAAATTTTTTACTAGAACACATTCAATCTGAATTCCCAAGAGTTTTGGGAATATCCCAATCCCATGCTTTTGGTCTTGAAACCATGCAGTGTAAAATATGAGGTAAATCCAAGCCTGACATCTGCATGCAGCCAAAGGAGTGACTGACTCAAGCTCTCAGACACCTCTTGTTCAATGCCACCAAAGAGGACATGACTGGGAAAACAATGCATCATATACAACAAAGGAGACAGACCCTGCTATTGATCCCAAGAGGATTTTCCAAAATACCTTCCATTTTACAAACATTAGCAGAAATGCATATTTGGAGGGAAGGAGGCATAAAAATGAATCTTACCTGGCTTTGAGAGGTGTTAGTCACACCCCATACTGTGGTGACCACTGACAAAGAGCCTGGAGGCTGGTTGGTATTTTGTTGCCAGGGAACAGAATCATAAGGGAAAGACCCATCACTGCAAAAACAAACATTCAGAAGGGTGACATTTTGGAAGTTTAAACTGTGCCAAGTTGCAGGTGGTGACAAAGGAATGAACGTCTGACATTACCTTAACTCTCCACACTTCCTCCACTATTAGCTTAGTATTCTCAGAGGCATGAAGTTTCTTTAACAGCAATGTGATTGTATCAAACCACATAGAATGAATGAATTCCTATTGAAGCACAGGGCTTTTACCACAAAAAGGTCTGATAGCAGTGAAAGTAAATTCAGGGGCAGAGTTTCAAACAAGGACACCAAGTTACTCAGAAGCACACATTTTTTTTGCAATTCATCTCAAACTCTTCAACGGTCACTGCTTCAGCTGCCTTATATCAATTCAATTAGATTTTGAGACCAGACTGCAGCTCCACTGTCTGCAGTGGGTCCCCAAATGGCCAGAAAAGCCTTTAAAGCAATAGCAGTTCAACATCATTTGGAAAAGTAAATTGAAATTCAGATAGTGTTCTCCCACACGATGGATAAGCTGCATGCCAAAAACAGTATTAGCTAATCAGCATTCTAGAAAATCAACTGCAGATATACAACACATCTTTCAGATAAATATGTGGATGAGAGGATTGGGTTTTTCCATTAGCTTTGTCCACAGATACAAGCAAACATTTCTTACAGTTCTTTTCATACAAAAGCGCTGGTGGTTTCAGAATGAGCCCAGGATAGGCACGCACTTAGTGTAATTAATGAAATATCTTAAATCCAGTGAAAGTAACTATCAATCCTATGACCATAAAACACATTCTACTTGAAATTTACTCATTCTTGTATTATTAACTTGTAAATTAGATTCAATTTGCATATATATACACATACACTCAGGTGATCCTTCTCCTCGTCTAGAGATATATATATATTAAAAAATACTATTTAACAGACACACATTGCTCTTTCATTTTCAAACACCATTGATTTGTGTTTTATATCAAGAACTGCATTTTTGTCTTGACTACCAGCTATCACCAAAAATTCTATTGAGGGCTAACTTACCTAAAGAATCTTTACAGGCTCTACATGCACTCTATCAACGTGCTTCAAAGCCTGCTCACTCTCCCGTGACCCCAGACAGTGCTCCAGGCTTGGACCACTCCTTCCTTTTGTGCTGTGAGCCAGAATCAAGGACTACCCCTGTGCTCATTCTTTAGCCTGTTCATAAAGCCAGGTGTGAATCATTTAAGAAAGGAATTGCTCTGCACAAAGTGTGCATGTGTGTTATAAAAACTGCCTCTGTCCTGAGTAACAAATAATCTAATAACAGCAGCAGCAACTGTGTAAATGAAGCAGTGAATACATTTCATAAACAGCTAGGAAATTTTAAACAAATTCCACAATTCATCTGCCAGCACACCAGCAATGTATTAGAACATAACTGTGAATTTGAACTGACCTATTTGCTTCAAAGTACCCATATTCAATCAAGGAATAAAATGACACAAAAATTTAAATTAGATAAAATAATAATTTCCCTTAACAAATTATTAGAGAAAACTAATGGTAAACCATGATTCTCTGTAAGGTGTGTGACATGTCATGTTCACACTGACAGCATCCATATAACCTGGGTGTGAATAAGGGCATACTGAACACCTGGCAGCCACTAAGTCCTGCTAGCCCATGTTTCTTTAAAATATTTTCTCTCAGAATCTTGCCCCTCTCACTCAGAGGCTCAAACAGTGGCTTCAGTGACTAATATTTGCAAGTGACGCAATGCAAGTCCCTCCACCAGCATGGAGACAAATGATGACTAACCCAGAATTTGTGACTGCTATTAAGATTTCCTCTTTTATCCTGCTCTGAATGATGCCTCCTACTTTACTTCCTTCTCTGACTGTTTCTGATGATGTCTGCTCTGTGATTTGTTTGGATATTTATGGCACATATGAGTGTTCATGCACTTCAGTGACTACAAAGAAGCTCTCTCCATGACATAAGCAGTGAAAGGGCTCACTGCAGACATTCCTCTCTATTCCCCACTGATGTGCTGTGGACAGGTAATAAAACCTGAGGAGCAAGGCAAATATTTTGCAAGTGTATGAGTAAATAAGAAGGGTAATGACAGGCAGGAATCAAACCACAGAGTCACTAAAGATTCTTCTAATGCAAATATGCTGTACAGTTTGTAAACACACTCCAACTTAGAGCAAGCAATGCTTCAGCCTGCTTTTTAGCAGTTATAATTATTACTTCACTTTCTTTGCATCCTAAGCATGTTCCTCTTAGCCATTCCTCTCCTTTAGAGTATGCAGAAAGGATTTCATGTATCATTCCTCCAGAGTTTTCAGTGGTAGATCATTTGTTCAGTGGAAGGCCACACTGGGTTCTCAAACACTATATAGTCACTTAATCCTAATTATAAATACTGAGTAAATCACTCAGTTTTTACAGTATTACAGTTAAAATGGGTGACACCTCAAGAAATCGTATTGTTGACAAATAATAAAGCCTCCAGCACCACACAAAAAAGCCAGGAAAAGAGACCAGCTATAGATTTGTTGAGAAATATTCATGGTGCACATTGAACCACGTGACTACCACATAATCCAACACAGGACCTAGTGTTACATCTCAAATATTATTAATCACAAAAATTATACAACACTGAACTAGTGATAGATGTGCCCTGCAGAACATGAACTTAAATAGCCTGATATCCACTCACTGCCCTAAGCCTCGTCCCTCAAGTTTCACCTCAGTCACCCCATGAGAAATCCAAGGCAATCTCATGGCTTGCATTCCCCAGCATTTACTCTGGCCCATCACCAATTATATGCATGTCAGAGTACAACTTTTGCCATACTGGATACAATACCCACCCTTTCTCCATCACATGCAGACTTCCTTGGCTTCAAGCAGTAAGAGATGCTGAAACTCTTGCCACTCAACTAGAGGATTACTTGTCCCTCCACCTCTGCTCTTTCAACTTCCATTTCTGTCCTTAAAACTACCCAAAGGAATATTCCCACCATCAAAGGAAAATCCATGTAAGTACTGTAATGAAACGTGACCAATCCAATTCTCATTTGCAAAGAGCAGTGCTTTTCCCCTGTTATTACACAGAGCTGTGAATTATCCTGAAATCCCTTTCTTTAAACTTGAAAATGGCAGCCAATAAAGAAAGAAGCTTGAACCTCTTCAGCCAAAGCGAAATGCTGCCCATGACATTGTTCCTGTTGAACTGTACAAGGGTAATTAAGTCTCTCACTGCACCCTGGAGGGCAGTGAGTCAGTTTGGACTCAGCTGGAGCCCACTAAAAGAGTATTGACTAAATTTACAATAGTGCTAATGAACCTATACATACTACTGGTCAGCATTAAAGGCCAAACAGCAGAGGAAGGCACAGAGCAAAGAGGAAGAGAGGGAGGGAAATTATTTCCCAAAGTAATGTTTCACTACTCTGAGCTAGCAAAACTGCTATCAAATAATGAGGAAGGATTTCTTAGCTACTGGCAGATGTACTGAACCCACCAGTAATATAACACTCATGTTGAAGAAGTACACTGGTAGTTAGGTCTAAAAAGCTTCTCTTAATCCAAGTACTAGGCAGACATCCAGTCTCAAGGAAAAGTTATAGACTTCATGTCAGACAGAGACTGACAGATAATTCTAATAAAAGTTGCTTAATAACAAGTGACCTTTGTAGAATAAATTAATACAAGTGAATTGCTGTAATTTATACATGATTTGTGGCATTATTTGCTGTGTTTTAAATATGTTTATGTTGTCACTAGAGCAATTGTATATGTACCTGATACTCTGTTTACATGTCTTCATTCCTTAAGGAAGGAAAGATTCAGATGGTTTAGTGAAGCATGCATCCCTAGAGCATTGGCACTTTACATATTGTGGAGGAGAGTGAAAACTGGAATTACACATTCCTGGTGATTTTCCACATCACTTGTTGAGAGGGCCAGGTCTAAAACACTACCTTCATAAAGCATCTACCTCTGTTTCAAACACTGTAAATCTGTCAACTACTGCACCAGGTGCTGACTTTCCAAAAAAGCCTTTTCAGTCCAACCACTGACAATCAAGTTTCCCACAACTGGGCCTCCAATGGCTACTTTCTGTTGCTTATCCTCAAGCCAGCTTTGCAGTTTTGCAGGGGTCCCTAACATCTCTGAAGTGCAGTCATCCCACCTGAAGGGTAGCTGACACACACAGAATTCACTCACACCTTTAAATCTACCAACTCTATCCTAACTTTCTCAGTTGACACCAAGATGAGCAGGTAATTGTCACTGGAACACTGATTGTCATTTCTCCCACATCATCTTTTGTCACTCATGGACACCTTGAGAGGAGAGCATCTCATGACAAGGTGTCAGGTCTCAGAGAACAACAGAGGCCAAACATGTCTTTGCAATAACACATGACCAAAAAGCAGAACAGGCAAAATACAACCCAAAACTGGGGCTGCTGATCTGTCCCTGCCTGATGGCACCTCTCTGCGTCTGCACCTTGCTCTGCCTCTGGGCAGGTGTGTGCTCAGGGTGCTCAGCACCCCCTGCCTGTATTCTTGGTTGGAGCCTCTAGGTGACACTACTTTAATACAAACAAAACCATAACAATTTCCAAACAAGCTCCTTGCTCCCCTCTTTCCACCCTACAACCTGATGCATCTGCAGTGGAAAAATATCACAAATCCCACAATCAGAACAGGCAAGAAAGCCCCAGATAATTGAAGTACCAAGACATGAGTTTCGTGTCTGGGTTGTCTCACAAGTTAGGCAGTACAGCTTCTTTCATTCAGGTTTAGTTTTTGTTTTATTTGGATTTCTTGAGAGAACACCACTTGAGTAGCTTTATTTATTAATATGGATTCAGTTAGCAAGCCTTCTTGATTAGGGCACCACCATGAATCTAACACTAGAAATCAGGAAAAAAGATTGGGGAAAAAAGTAGCCTAAGTCCTTTCTGGAGCATTTTAGTATTTCATACCAAAAAGGCAGTTCAAATTCAGT